TGGTAAGGCAACAGAACCCACCGCAGTCCTGAAGCTCACATACAGGGAGAGTAGAATCAGAAATCAACAGTCGACATCTGGCACCTGGTTTGGGTGAAGAGATTCTATCCTGGTTCAAGTTGTTATCAGTTGCAGCTWTAGGCTCACCTGCTCAGTCAATCCTCTGRTTTGCAGAGTAATCAATGCTGGCAGGCTCATTCCCGATCTGAGTACTTATTCGATGTATCTCTGTATAAGGGACGCTGGACCCGTTTTCCAGCAGGTGACGCTCCCCACCAATAGATGGAGCCTCTCCCTAGGTGCTAGTGATGTCTGCCCTCAACAGCATCACGAGCACTGATGGGTCTGTCTTTAAAAAAACAAAACAAAACAAAAAAAAACAAAAAAGAAAAAAGCTTTTGCCAATAGTGTTTCGACTTTAGAAACATGCCGGCGTTGTACTTTTTCTTCTGCGCTGCAAGGATATCATGTTATAGGCTGAAGGATGGGAGAGGCTTGTTATGGATTAGTTCAGCCTCCTTTTTCTGTGCTTCAAGGCTAGTTTGAGGAGTTCTGCCCTATTGAGATTGGGCGGTCGTGGGACGCTGGACCCGGTTTCCAGCAGGCTTTATCTTGTTAATACCGGGTAGAATTGTGAGGTCCCCGGCCTCGACCACGTTTCTTTTGAAATATAAAGTGACAACTTCTCAAAAAAAAAAAGAAAAAAAAAAGAGATATACTCAAAAAAAAAAACAAAATGAAAAGAGATATACAGCAAACAATTCAGAAATTTGTTTTGGACTGGCTAGGGGGCTCTGAGGGGAGGGGCTTGGGTGAGGTGGAATGGCCAGGGTAGAAATGACTCAGGAACCTCTCAAGAGGGAGTTCCAGCTTATCTTCCGGGACTGGTTCACACTTCAACCAGGAGCCTCTCTCGGATCTCCAGTTTTCTTTTCAGACCCATTTCCTCCTCCTGAGCTAGCCGCCCTAGTAGAGATGCAATGGTATGGCTTGGGGGAGGATCAATATGTGATCAATTAAAAACGTACTTTGGGACAGGATAGCTTGTTTCGTGAATTCCATCTGGCGGTCCTTGAAGCACCACTACCTTTCCCCAAGTCGGCCTCGGGTAGCCCTCCAATCTTTTAGGAGGCTGAAAGGGAACCACGACCACCAATGAGATTTATCAATGGCGGCCATCGTTGGGCCCAGACCCCAATTTTTTTAGGAGCAGGCTATTTTCCTGTTTTCCCAACAGCGGGAAAGGTAGTGGTGGTTTAAAACCACCACTCCCCCTGCCTTGAAAAACTCTTTTTATTTTTTTTTTTATTTTTTTTTTAACCCTTGTGTAAGCCCTCTATCCCGGCGGTGGTAAGAGAACCGTCTAGGAGACTGGTAGGCAAATTTTTTGAATCGGCATGCGGCCTACCGGTAGGTATGTGTGGGGCCGGCCTTGACTGTGTAAAGGTCCCATGCGTTTGTTGCCCATTACAGTTTGTTTTCAAATAGTAGAGCCGCACATGTCGGATTGAGTTCGTTTCTTTTTTTTTTTTTTCAGTTCTTGATTTTTTCAATTTTCTTTTATATAGGGGCTCGTTCGACACTCCTCGGGCCGTCCTCGGGGCCCGAGGAAATTCTCCCGTCGTCGCCCGAGGAGATTCGCGCCGTCATTCCACTCATCCTCGGAATAGTTCCGCGAGGACGATTCCTTGGGGCCTTCCGCGGCCAGCTTCATATATCGACAAGCGGACGTTGGGGGGGGGAGGGGGGTTGGTCCAGCAAGGTGTGTCCGTGCCGACGTCGTTGGTCCAGCTCGGGCGAGCGTCGCGAATTCAAAAGTTGGCGGCGAAAAAAAAAAATGGCACGAAAAAGGTGCGCAGTTCCCAGGTTCAAAATTCGAAATTCAAATTTCCGCAAGCGACTGACGGCGGCGTGGGCGTCCCTTGCGGCTGACGGCAGCAACGTTCCTCGGCGGAAGCGCTTCGGTACGGGGTGGCGGCTGCGTGTCGGCGGGCACGGAGAACGTACATGTACGCGTCCGAAGCAGCAGACATGCCGTCACACGATCGCCATCATTGTCGTCTTCGCAGGCGCACCTTCGTTGTCGACGTGTACGCTGTGCACTCGGGTCGTCACTCTCAGCATCGCTGTTGTGCGGCCCGACACACGTGGAGTCTTCTGCACTTGGCGACGCCCACGTCGACAGTACCAGTTTCGGCGATGGCCATGAACGGGGAGGCGGGCCGTGACACATTGAGCAAGGTGGAAGAGGACGGCGGTGGCAGCAGCCGTGAACGCCATCCTCTTCTGGTGTCAATTGCAGAGGAGCGAGGGGAGGATGAGAGCGACCATTCGCGCACGGCGGAAGAGGACGCTGCAGTCCATGAATGTGGAGGGAGAGGACAATGGTGCCATTTGCGACGCCGTGCTGCAGGTGTGCTATGCCATGGGGTGTGGAGCATTTCCCAGATCGACGCTCAGGTGGTGGATGAAGCGACGGACACGTGGGACGTGGGAGGATCTGCGGCAATGCGACGACGCGTCCGCGAACTACTTCAAGGACAAGCTGCGCATGTCGCCACGTGTGTTCCGAGAGCCACGGAAGCTTTGTCTCCCTTCCTCGAATGGCGTGTCACTTTCTATAGGGAACCCCTCCAGCCTGACCACATTGTCGTGTACGCTTTGTACAGGTGGGCGTCGGCCGACACGTACGAGAGCGGGACATGCAGCTTCGGCATTGGCAGATCTTCTGGGTTGGTGGTTGTGCGGGATGTAACTGAGGCGTTGCTGAGTGTGTATGCCGACAAGATATCCTGGCCGACGGGGCTGCAGAAGGCGGTCGTCTTGCGCGCTTTCGCTTACAAGGGTTTCCCTAACTGCCATGGGTGCATCGATTGCACCCACATCTTCATCAACAAGCCAGCGAATTGCCCCCGGGAGGACTACTACGATAGAAAACGACGTTTCTCTGTCCAGGCGCAAGTCGTTGTCGATCTGAACGAAGTCTTGCGCGTGCTGGATGTGTTCGTCGGTTATTCGGGAAGTTGCCACGACGTGAGGATCGTGCACCTGTTGAGTTTATGGGCGCGCGCTGAGGCAGGGTAACTTTTCACTGAGCCACCTATTATGCTGCCTTTCGGTGTGTAGATGAACGGGTATCTGCTGGGCGACAATGATTATCCCCCCTCCGAATGGGTAGTCGTCCCCTACGACGGTCTCTCACAGCACCCATTGGAGTTACGCTTCGACAACAAGCAGAAGACGGCAAGGGGAGCGGTTGAGAGGGCTTTCGGCAGACTGAAGGGGATGTGGAGGTTGTTCCTTCACTTGCACAAGACGAACATGGAGATGTTGCCGCAGCAGTTCATCGTCGTCTGCATTTTGCACAACATACTCATCGACGCGGGCATCCCCTTCGACGACAATCTACTGTGGGAGGTTGGGCCGGACGGTGTGCGTCGCAGGGTGGATCTTGAGATGCAGCGGCCCTTGAGGCCGATGTGTATGGAGTCGTCGACGGGGGATGCACTCATTCTGTGGGACACACTGGCGGAGAGAATGGGTGCGCAGTGAACACGGCCAGGCGTGCGGAGCGGGCGGCTGCGATGACGTGGCTAAGGCGAGAAATCAGAGCGGACGATGCGGGGAGCAGGCGAGAAATCGAAGCAAACGATGCAGGAGGCGTATTGTCCTGGAAGGGGTGGTCGTCTGAGTTGGGGTCGTTGTGTGTGTGGGGCCGTTTTCCAGAAATGGCAAGTTAAAGCAGCGGCGGCTGTTTCGCTGTGGGTTGCCGTGCACGGGGCAGCGTGTGTTGGCAGTTTCATTCGGTTTTGTTTCGCACTGCGGGTCATTCAGGAGGTTGTCGGTGCCTGGGGTTAATGGTGATGGCGCAGTCCAACGCATAGTCGATGGGGGCGACGTGATGCGCGTGCACGTGCCGATTGTAGTTGTCGTGTAGTATGGTGTCGCCATGGGTGACGTGTCTGGGTGACGTGGTCGAGTCTTCATCGTGTGTGTTTTGTTTTCCGAAACTTGGGATTGAAGTTGCCTTGAAGGCCTTTATTTTTTGCAAAGTGTGTCGTCGTCTGCCGTTTTTTTGTACAAGACACAACAATCTAACAACATATCGTGTAAATTATTTATGTTGCGTGGCTTGTCTTCTTCTTTCATGACGAATGAAAAATAGAGAATTGCACGACGTTTTTGTATGTTATTTGTATTGCCATCTTTGCTTCACACATTTGTAATGTCGTGTGTGAACATCCCTCACTTCGTCATCAACCATTTGATCAAGCAAGCATCCCTGACCCCGTTACGTCCCCCTTACCATAACATTCGTGAATGCAAATGAAAGCAGAATAATCAGGAAGCGACAACACGATTAAGACATCATCAATATCAACCAACATAATTACATGTTCGCTTCAACAAATGCGAACATCGATTTGCCATGTTTGAATTTTTTTATTTTCTATATTCTTCTTAAAGGGAGTAGCGGGTCTCACGTAACGCGTCCCGCTGAGACCTTTTTAGACCTTTTTCCTGCGCGGGCCCGACGCTAGTGGGCCCGGCGCGGTTTTTGTTCGTGGCCGTCTTTTTTTTTTTTTTTAGTTTTGTGTTGAGAGGTTCGAGTCCAGCCGTTATTCGGATTCTTTTTTTGCCTTTTCGTGGTGGGCGACGATAGAGACGAGTCTGACAGTGTACATTCCCATGTTCTAGCGGAAGATTCGTTCGATTTTGAGGTTTTTTGTTCTTGGCCGTCTTTTTTTTTTTGTTTTGTGGTGAGAGGTTCGACTCTCGCAGTGTATATTTCCATGTTCTAGCGGTTCGCGGCCGTCTTTTTTTTTTTTGTTTCGTGGTGAGAGGTTTGACTCTGGCAGTGTATATTTCCATGTTCTAGCGGTAGATTCATTCGATGTTGCTTATCCTATCTATGGTAGTACCATGAGGCCAGCCGC